ACTATTTATATTTGGGAATATAGTAGAACATGAGTGAAACATATCACTATTTATATTTGGGAATATAGTAGAACATGAGTGAAACATATCACCATTTATATTTGTGAATAGAGTAGAACATGAGTGAAACATATCACCATTTATATTTGTGAATATAGTAGAACATGAGTGAAACATTTCACCATTTATATTTGTGAATAGAGTAGAGCGTAAGTGAAACATATCACCATTTATATTTGTGAATAGAGTAGAACGTGAGTGAAGCATATAACCATTTATATTTATATAAGTTGTTCGGGTTTTTTCACCTAAAAAATTCAATATTAATTTTTTGACGACCTAATATAACTTTTTAAGACAATTAACCTTTCAGGAAATACAAAGCGTGACAGACAGACATTTGGCTAGTATTTCTCCGAAAGGGGGCCGAAGGTCGCCTGGAGGTGTCAGCTATTTTAATCCCTCCCACCACTATATAGTAGTATTTTGTCTATCAGTCAGTCAGTAAACACTAAAATTACGTCACATAATGGACGTTTAACGTTGCAATTTGTACTGTCGTGAATCGGTAAAACATGCACAAGCCATGAATCACGAGAAGAATTATGTACTCTGTAGGTTACAACACAGCATGACATATGAACTTCAAAAACAAGAAATAAAAATATTTGTTACTCTTAATTTTGGTTTTAGTTACTCTTGAAACAGAACACTTTAGGGGACCCTGCGGAAGTACATCTAGTACATAAATACAGATATTATAAACAATCAAACGTAATTCTTTTTATACAAAGATAAGAGTGTATAATAGACTGAGCATCTTCAAGTACTCGATGATTTTTTAAAATTTAATTATTCAGAAAAAAAGCAAAAACAGGAACCTGCCAATTTATGACAGATAGATAAAATCAAGACCTTGTGAAAAAAGACTGGAAGTTCTCGTGGTGGGAGAGTATCTGCAGAAGTAAAGTCCATACATTCACAAACGATTTATGTACAGTAAAATTAGAACTATGGAACACTCGACATCACAAAGTTTTAAGCATCTAATCTCATGGTTAGTGAGATTCAGCTACAGTAAAGTGATAAGTGAAGTCAGTCAGCTACAGTAAAGTGATAAGTGAAGTCAGTCAGCTACAGTAAAGTGATAAGTTAAGTCAGTCAGCTACAGTAAAGTGATAAGTGAAGTCAGTCAGCTACAGTAAAGTGATAAGTGAAGTCAGTCAGCTATAGTAAAGTGATAAGTGAAGTCAGTCAGCTATAGTAAAGTGATAAGTGAAGTCACGTGTGATCACAAACCTCAATAGACAAGGTTGAAAATGTGCTACTTTACAAATAAACTTTATCCTCCATCTTATAATTCCATTGAAATAGTATAACACCCCCACCTCCACCATTCAGGTGCACAAGCGGGTTTGAATATTTCGTAGGGTGGACCTGACTCGCATGATTCTAACGTTATAATCTAACTTATTGCTCTCATTTGATATCTCATATTCTGATTTTGCTTCTGCGTCTAACATGCGGCGCTTTAATAGTGCAGCAGTATTTTATCTTAAACCTAAAGTGGAATCAACATTACGTTTATTACTTTTTGTGTAGCAAAAAAATCATTTGAAGAATACCGGAACAAAAAACAATTGTTATATGGGATTATTTTCACTTTCCTGGATGAATGATTAAACCTTTCCGCCCCCGTCTTTTCTACATATCATGCACAGAATACCTAAAAAAAGTGATTAGCGCCATTTTGTCTTTAGGTAACCATGACCCACTCTGTTTTGCTGAGGAGCTACTAACCTGCGTTATTCCGATGTTGGTGGCCTTTAATATTTAAATATTCTTTCGTGAGGGTTAGCTGTGTAGAGTATTGTTCAAAAACCTTTTGAACTCTTTACAGGTGGCACAGCAGTACGTCTGCGGACTTACAACACTAGAAACCTGATTTCGATAGCCGTGGTGGGCAGAGCACAGATAGCCCATTGTGTAGCTGTGTGTTTAACTTCAAACAACAACCTTACAGGTGCCTGAACGCCATCTGTCTTTACAAATTTCAGAATAGTTGAAAAAAAGCTTAATTGAATGTAGCAGAATATTAAGAAAAATTTTTAAAAATTTAACATAGACTTTTCTCGTCAAAATCATTAACGACTTGTAGTGTTTCACGTCAGCAGACAATACAACCTGAAAATTAATTAATAAAATATCTAGCTACGAATCTATCTATTTTTATATGAGGGTTTTATAACTTGTTTTCATAATATACGATGGGATGTTTACCTGAGGAAACTACATGAGTGGTAGGTCCACCAAATCCTAATTCCACACTTGTTGACGCTAAAATACTACTGGACAGCTCGGGCGAGATCGCATCCCTGGTAACAGTCGGATAACTGACGGCATTTGGATGATCTACTGAATTATAAATATCACAACTTAATTTACACAAAGACAACCATAATAAATGTAATCCGAAACTATTTCTGTAAGAATGCTTACTTTACGTAGCTTAGTTTTTGTTTGCTGTCTAGTCTTAGCAATGTTCCGGACCCTGCAAATGTTATGGAACATACTGGAATTAACCAGGATCATGTAGTGGTAGAAGAATGATTGAGACATTAGAAATGGGTAAAGCACAGACCAGAGAGGTATTAATGTCGTAGTGGTAGAAGAAGGATTGATACATTAGAAATGGATAAAGCACAGACCAGAGAGGTATTAATGTCGTAGTGGTAGAAGAAGGATTGAGACATTAGAAATGGATAAAGCACAGACCAAAGAGGTATTAATGTCGTAGTGGTAGAAGAAGAATTGAAATATAAGAAATGGATAAAACAGAGACCAGAGAAAGGTTTTTCCTTAGGGTTTTAAAGGAGGTTAGATATCAGATATTAAACCCTTCTCCTTTATTTTTGATAAGGCAATTGACAGAGAGCATGTGTCTGAAAATTGATAAAAGAGTTAGCACAAAAGATCACATATAAAGTGTAATGAACTTAAAACAAGACCCAAAACTCGAGCGCTTTCGAATAGTTGATTCTTCTTCTTCAGGAGAACAAAGGGGCCTTTGTTCTCCTGAAGAAGAATAGTCAAATAGTCGCTAATTTTATTTCTATTTTGAAAGGGGTGATAGGAGTTTTCCTTGGTATTACAAGCAAATTAGTTTTACTTCTGTAGTAGAAAAATTTCTAGAGTCTGACAGAAAAAAAAACTTTACAAAATCGTTTAGAGAAATATGGTATCACCGGAAAAAATAAAATGGACTCACCAAAAGGAAATCTTTAAAATCTTATATATTTTCGAGGATGTTACTTGTTCTTTGGATGATTGATGTGCTTGATTTTCAAAAAGTTTTTGATAATACAAAATTAGCTAAGAATATCACATCCTTAGAGGTTAGGAAAAGGCTATCTAATTGGGTTGCAAAGTAGTGGGATGGAAGAAAGCAATTTGTTTTAATAAGGAGTCCATTCAAACTGAATGTTTGTTACCAAGAGTCAGTGCTTGGACCATTGTTTTTTACATAAATGATACTGATAGGGATATAACTGGCAAATTAGAAAATTTTGCTCATTAGTTAAAACTATTTGATATTTGTAGCTGTTTTGGGGATGTTTAAATGCAAGGTAATGGTTAACATTTAGGTTATGATAATTTGGATCACCTATCTAAAATAGATAGGAACCCACTCAATAGTGTAACTGAATATAAGAACATTAGTATAGAAATGGATAAATCACAAAAGCCACCGAAACAGTGTTTTGTCGCTAATAGCATTGTTTATAGAATTTTAGGGTTAATTTATAAATGCATATTGATTATACACCAAAAGAAGTAATTATTTCTCTATACAAATTACTAATTAAGCCTCACTTGTGTACAGTTTTGGTGTCTAGGAAAGGGTATTACCTTATTAGAAAGAGTTTAGAGAAAGGTTGGTTAGGGTAATTCTAAGATGGAAGGGTTATCTCGTAAGGATAAGTTAAGATATCTTAGCTTATTTTCTTTAGTGGAAAGGTAAGAGATGATACTGTTGAAATTTACAATATTATACGGGGAATTGATAGCATTGAGGCATCTCAAGACACAAGTTTAAGATTAGGAAAGGACAGGCTAAAAAGTCTAGAATCCGATTAATTCAGTTTTATTTTCTAACAAGGCGATTAATTTATTGAAAGAGTTGACACTGGCATTATAAAGTCACTGTGTTGATAAGCACGCTCTGGTTAATTTACTGGAAATAGAATGCAGCAATTAGCCAGTGGTGACATCTATTGGGTAATTTTGTTATATCTTGAACCAGTATCTCTCTCCTTATATCTAAAGATATTTTTTATTTTGAATTTCGAACAATTATCAAAACGCGTATCATTCTATGCATAAGTAAGGAGTTACAAACTAATTATTTTTATCACCTTAACTGGTACCACGGTGGGACAGCGGTAAGTTTACGGACTTACAATGCCACAATCTGGGGTTTGATTCCCCGCGGAAGACACAGCAAATAGCCCAACGAGGCTTTGCTCTAAAACAAACGAGCAAACCATCTAAGCTAACAAAATCTTATTACAAATTTGATAAATGCTGAATCTCTTGAATGCATGATATGTACCATAGCAAGTTCGTTGTTGTTCTTTAGATGACTTATTTGCTGTCACATTTCTTTTGTTTTCAAACAATATTGAGAATGTTTTATTGAAACGGATGAAATATTATGAAGTATCGAGTTTATAAAAGGTAAAAATTTGTGCAATGAAGTATGATATTAATTACTTACTTTCAAATAATTTTTGGCGTGATCTAAACTCCCCCTAGAAACAGATTTAACAAGTACTCTTCCGAGTTGTCACGTGATTAATGTTAAGCATTTTATTATGAATCTGAGATGTTAAAAAATATCAATATTTAAAGTCCGAGAAAAGTTTGTTTTATTTTGTTTAAGCGTAAACCTACAGAATAGGCTATCTGCGCATTGCGTAGGGATTTAACCCGGGATTTTGCACTCTAAGCCCTCAAGCTTACTACTGAGCCACAGGGGAAGCCAATGAAAAGAGAAACATTTCGTTTCAAAAGTGAGAAGTTAAAAAGTTGTATCCTTAGGTGAGAAAAACTGAATTGGAACTTACCATAGGTTTGGGTGACGACTCGGGAGTTGGTCTGTTCTACTGTAGTGTATAACGTCTGACTTCCAACAGTATAGGGAACTGTAAAGGTGGTGGTGGTGTAGAAGGTAACCAGGATCGTTTCAGTAGGCTGGATGGTGGCAGTATCCAGGCTAAGTTGTGGAGAATTTTGTGGCACAACAACAGCAGAAGAAGCGGTCAGAAGAACACTCCTAAAGCTAGTTTCCAAACCAAAGATAACTGGGACCGAAGTAAATGTGGTATAGGTTTCATATTTTACGGTAACCGGTCCGGATGACTTAAGCTCTTCAGTAGAAATAGTAGGTCTTAGACGCCGGCTGACTTTCACAGTGTACGGTCGTCGAGAAGGAGCGACTACTCCACGAGGTCCTGTTCTTGTAACAACATAGTAGCGTGGTCGACTTGTGATATCAAGTTTTGAAGGCAGAACGAATCTTGTATTAGTTCTGCTAATTCTTCCAGCCCCAAAGGGCCTCCGAACCGTTATTGTCAACCGTTTTCGAGTAGGTCTTCCTTGTTCATCAAGTACGTCTGGAGTTTCTTGGAGGTCGTTTTGCTGATTCTCTGAATTAATACTGTCTAAATTACCATCTGTAGACAACGACAAAGTAGGAGTCGACAATATTTCGTCACCTTCTTCCAGGTTAACATCACTGTCGTAGTTAGAAGAGATGATGTCAATAGATGAAGACAACAGAGTTAGAGATGGATTTTCAACTATGTCGCTTTCTTCAGAATAACTAAGGCTACTTGCAAGTTCTGGACTTTGGGATGTTTGAAGATAAGTTATAGGTCTTCTTGATTGTGGTCTTTCTTTGCTTCTTGATGGTCCAGATCTTACTCTGACAACTACTCCAGGCCTTGGACTAAATATACGGCTTCTCAATGAATAAGGAGGGCGCCTTACTAAGGAAGTCAAAATACGTACGCGTGGTTTACTAGTTTCACCATCATTTTCTACTGTATTATCTAAAGATATTTCAGGTGTTGCATTATCAAATGAACCATCTGGCTCTGGTGAAATAAATTCACTTGCTGAAGCGTAAGATGGTTGCAATTCTGTTGGGTTTATTGGCAATGAATGATAATTATAAGATGACTCCAACTCATTTTCCGCAAGTCTTGTGGTATAAGATGACCCCAGCTCCTTCTCCGCAAGTCTTGTGGGTAAATGCAATGATTCTGAGTCTGATGGACTAAAGGAGGTTGTTTCATGGATCTGTTCAATAACAACGTTACTGATGCCATCAAAATGTAGTAATGTTTTAAGACCAATGTTTACCTCTGTAGTGGTACCACCCACTTTTCTGGACCCTAGATTCACAACACGGCTCACTGGCCCAATAGTCAAGAAACCAGCACTGTTGATTGTGCTTGAGTATAGTTCTGCCGAAAACGGCTCACTCTTAGACACTATATTAGTGACGGTTTCCGCGCGCACTGATTGCCTTGTACTTAGGCCATCATAAAATGTGTAAAAATATGTGAAAAGCGTAAAATATGTTTTCGGAAGCGATGCTAGAGCATTTAGTTCTATTTTTTCCAAATTTTCGTGGTGAAGATTTAAGTTTGAATTTCCTTGATTTCCAGGAGAATCCACAGAAGTCGTTTGGAAGACTCCACGGTATATGTCACTGTTGAATATCTGTAGTCGTGATCCTAAATGGACGATTGTTGTGGCTCCTCCCCCTGTTCTAGAACCTAGCGGTATTGTAGTATAGCCATTGGCTGGTACTGTATATCCACCGTTACTCTGTATAACCTTTACCACGTCAGAGTCAGGAACTTGAGAGAAGACGCTGGAAAGAACAGTCTCGCGGCTGGTATATATAGTGTCTGTGCCGTGGAGAAAGGTTGTAAAGTATGTGTACGTGGTATAATAAGTAAATGGAATTAATTTTGAATACAAATTCTCTGAACTCAAGTTTTTTTCTTGAGAACTTTTCTGTTGACCTTCAGGACCAGCGTTCGTGATGAAACCTAATGGAGATAAGCTGTTCTTATTAATAACATTTATATCGGATACACCCTGAGTCAGTGCAGGCTTTAATTCTGAATCTAGAGCATTTTTCTGTTCTTGGTTTTCTACATCATCGTTATTAATAGGACCTCGCGCCTGCAGTGAACCTAAGATGCGAGATGGTTGTACAGCATCAGGCCTTTTTGTCACAACTACTTTTCTTTTTTTTCCACTCCCAGGCCTTCTTATGCGAATTATACGACGCACTGCTTCCGAGTTATCGTTTACAACATTTTCAGTACTAGCAGCTTTGACACCTGGCTTCCCTTCTTTCGTTTCTTGAAATGTTCCTGGATGAATTTGTGATACTTCTACATCATCATTTCCTTCTTCATTATTAACATTCAAGGCAGAATTACCCAACTTTTGTTCATTTTCTTTGATATTTTCTAAATTGGAAAAATTCTGTCGTGGTCTTTTCCGTCTGACCACCACAGGTGTCCGTCGTAATCCATTCGCATTCTGATGTGTTTGTCCTCTAGGTACGTTTGTCAATGGCCTTAGTTTCCGAATAATAACTCTCCTACGCTTTGTGAGGCTATCTCTCCTATCTTCATCCTTTTCTTCCGTAGTTCCATCTGATTCTTGTTCATCTGCCTGTTCTGCACCATCCTTTGGTAGCCTCCTGCCAAACCCTTCCTCTCCAGGTGCTGTACCTACCAGAGAAAATTGTCGTGTTACTAGGTTTCTGGTGACTGAACGTTTTAAGTCCTGTCCGTTAGTAACATCTCTAAGAATACCCTTTTTAAGTTTGTCAGTCACTTTTATTACTCTTTCGAAGCCAGAAAAACGTGTTCGGTCATTGCTTTCATTACCCCCATTTTTTTCTTCTAAACCTACATTTGATAATAAATCGATAATTGAATCAGCATCACTGACTTTATAACCCTGAAAAGATATATGTGTGTCTGACTGAGGTAACGACTGAGGAAGAGCTGCGACAGGAGACAAACCATTATGTAATCTTTTACCACCCACCTGTGGCCTTACGTCAAAATCTTGATTACTTTGATACTCACCAGATGTTTTGTCATCCTGGTTTTTCTTCTTTCCAAAAACTCTTCTTCTCTCATCATAATCATCAAGAAATACTTCAGCATATGTATCTAAATCTTCATCAGAAGTTCTGATTTGTTCATCGTCTTCCAAAAACTGGTGTAATTTTCTGAGATTGAATCGTAAACCAAGACCATACTCCTTTTCTATATCACTTATAGAACGTTCTGATTTTATATCATTAAGCAACTCTTCTTCATCACTATTACTTTTTTGTCCACTATCTTTCACTACAGCAGATGCTTCATAGACTTCTGTTAGTTTTCCTTTAAATATAGTGGTAAAATCAATATCTGAAACCTTATAAGCACTGATGTAGGAAGATTTCAGCATTTCTGTAGGAAGCGTGGTATCGGTTAGGTCCGACATGTAGCTTACACCTTCCAAACCTGAGCTTAACAAAATGTTGTATTGAGTATCATCCTTCTCTTTGTAAACAGTATTTGTAAATCCTTGGTAACCATCTGGTGTTTTAGTGGCAAACCAGCTGACTTGTGTTTGCAAGCTTCTAGCAACTTTTGTATGTAAGACGGGTTGTTGATAAAAGGGGACTGCAACCTGCGTCACAACAGGTTTCAGTTGTCCATCAGCACCTGAAACGTAAAATGTCAGTTCGGTTGTTAACTGAGGAAATGGAAAATATGGTTGTTGAACCATTGGTGCATGTGTTTGAACTTGGGCTTGAGGAACCGGAATAGTTGTCGTTGTCACAATTGTAGTCTCTGAAAAAGTTGTAGTTGTTAGAGTACGGTATCTCGTTCTTCCTCTAATGACCAAAGGCAAAATTCTGGTTGAAACAAAAGGCTTTTTAGTTACAAAAGAGCTAGATGAGGTTATGTAACTAACCGAATTCGGAGAAATTCCTTGATAAAAGGGAAGTGGAAACTGTTGTTGGGCAGCAGAGGGAGCACTTGCTTCTGGAGCAATAGTGCTGAGAATTGTCGACAATGTAGTTAGAATCCGAGTGTCTGTTATTGTATCTGTTCTTGTACTATAACCAATTTTTAAGGTTACTAAATGTGTTGATTCCCAAGGTGATGTCGTTATAAGAATCTCGGTTATAACGGTATGAAGCTGATCTGTTGGTCCATTAATATCAGGTACATTTGTCTTCGAGGAATAAATTGTTTTTGTAATTCCATCCGAAGTGACAGCAGAATATTCCGATGGTGGAATAACACTACTCCCAAAGGTTGTAGTAGTCAATGTTGCATAAGATGTCTTAAATCCATGGTAGATTGGCAGTATTTTAACGGTTGTGATAACAGAAGTTACAGTAACCGGCGTTTGTGTGGGCGTTACTATAGACGAAGTACTGGTCTCAGGTAAGGTTTTTCTCCACGATCGTGGATCAAAAGTTGGACGTCGCCGTTGTCCCCGGAATCTCACCTCTCTTCGATCTTCTTCATCTGGGTTTTCTTTGCTCACTGCATTAAAAGAACTTCTCAATGACTGCCCTCGGTTTCTTGAACGTCTGCCCTTTGGCCTTCTTATACGAACTCTAGCATTACGAGTATGATTTGGTTTCTCGTCCAGCTCTTCATCCTCAATGTCTTTTTCTTCTTTTCGACGAGATCGTCTTCCAAATCTTGCAGCATTTCTCCTTCCAAATAATCTTGAGCGACGTCCACTTCTGGGCCCTAGGGTTGATCTTAAAGGACGAAAACGATTTTCCCTGTCTAGTGAACTATTTTCTTCAATATCATCTGCATATTCATAATCTTCGGTAATATTGTCTTCTTCAAGATAAGAATCATCATAGTCAGATCTTTCTTCTGCTTGTGGTTGAGAACTAAAAGTTGATCGCCTATTGTTTGAAGGAAAATGGTTTAATCTAGACTCTGACAACCGAGTTCGAAATTGAAAACTGTTTTTCCTTCTTTGTCCTTGAGTTCTAAATCTGGATCGAAAAGATGGTAAAGGACTTGTGTAAGCTTCATCTTCATCATTTTCTGTATAATTAGCATCCTGTTCGTCAATATCTTCTTCAGCATCGTCTATTCGGCGACTTAATATTGGACGTCTAAACCTAATGTTAAAAGAAGGAGGTTTGTGAGTTGGTCTTGTGGGGAGGACGAACGACGGCCTTTTTCTTTGTCGAAATGGTCTGATTCTGATTTGTGGCACATGATCTTCAGTTGAATCATGACTCTCCGTATTATCATTAACTTGTATTTTTGATGTGGATATATTATTAGATTTGTCACCTGTTTTTCCTGATGTTTGTGATCTACTTTGACTCAAATGAAAAGTTCTGGTCCTTTCCTTTGTTTGTTTGTTCTTACGTTTTGAATTTTGTGAGATGTCGTCATCGTAATTATCATAATAATCTTCATAGTAATCATTATCTTTTTTTATTTTGACATCTGCCAAATCAATATCTGTATATTTATCAGTAGACTCATCAAACGATTCGAGAAAGTCGTCTTTACTTTCTGGACTACCTTTTCCCTCTGAATCAAAAGATTCATTTCTACTGTCTTCTATGTAATCATAATCTTCAGCCTTATCTTTGGCCTCTTCATTATCAGTACCTTCAGTACCTCTCACTAATGATGGAAAATGAATGAAAGGCCCTGAACTTTGCGTGGTAACCTTAGCACTGTCTTTTTCCTCAGACTCTAAATTCTCAGTAGTAGTTTTTTCTTCATGTTGTTTTTTCTTAGTAATAGTTTGATTGTTGCCCTTATATTCGACTTTTATTTCTGGTTGAACATAAGAAGATTCTAAAGTATTTATATCAGAATTTATAGATTTGGTAATTATTCTTGAAGTATCATTTTCATCTGACTCTTCAAATGGCGTGGTGCTGGAGTGACTTTTTGTGGGAAACTGTGTGTTTTGCACTTGTGAATTTTCCAGTCTAGTGTCATTTTCTTTGCTTCCAGCATCATGTTTCTCTGACTGTGCTGATATATTGTTTTCAAGAAAAGTGGATTGGAGAGGAGATGATATATGACTAATGTCGCTTGTCTCGTCTGTTTGCTTTAGAGATCTTGTCGGAAATGCTCTCTCGCTGCTTATAAGGGTTTTAGTTAATTCTCTTTCGTTATATGCCGAGACAGGTACAACTTGTGATGACGTTTTTGCAATGTGAGCATAAAATCCATTAAAGTATGTACCATGTATTTCTTTTGTATATATAGTCGCTAATGTTCCATGGATTTCGCTCGATGTCACAGAAGAAATCAAGCCTGTTTTATCACTAGTAGGCTCACTTGTTGACGGTTCAATGATAGACGAAGTACTTCGTGCTACGTGTGCATATAGCCCATTAAAGTACGTTCCAATTATCTCTTTGGTGTGAAGCGTGGTAGTACCTTCGTTTACTTCTGTCATAACATTTGACGATATCACACCAACTGTTTGAGAAGGAGTTGAACTTCTTATTTCTGACTCGGGCAGAACTTGTGAGGTTTTTTTTCCGATATGGGCATAAAATCCGCCAATATACGTTCCATATATTTCGGATGTATGAAGAGTCGTAGTTCCATCATTTAACTCTGTACTTATGATGGCAGATATTAATCCGGTTCTAGATACTTCTGTTTGTTTAGATGAAAGAGAAGATGACGTTGATGTAATAGGAGATGATGGTAAGGTGTTACTTCTCAACAGTTCGGATGGTTCTATTGTGATTGAGTCCAAATTCGTATATGATACTGATTGGTAACTACTGAGGTTGTCGTCATATGATGTTTTTGATAAAAAAGTATTCTCCACTGTACTTTCTGGTGTAATGTTACTAGTAATCATTTCTGCAGGTAACACCCTTGACGTAGACTTCGCAACATGTGCATATACGCCCCCTATATAAGTGCCATATATTTCTGATACGTGTAACGTTGTTGTACCTCTATATAGAACACTACTGATTACAATAGAAGAAATTAATCCAGTTTGATATTCAATCGCTACAGATGGCTTAACTGTGGCTTCGCTATCTTTATCTACAGTTTGAACGGTTGACCTAGAGACAGTCTTCGCCACTTGAGCATAGTAATCGCCAATGTATGTTCCATATATCTGTGTTGTGTAGTAGGTTACTGCTTCATCATGTACTACACTGCTGACTAAGGAAGAGAGTAGGCCTGTTGGATTTACGACTTGTGTCTGGGGACTATCGGATAATGTTGGAGTAGGTGTCTGAACCTCGCTAGTAGTTCGAGCAATCTGAGCATATATTCCACCGATGTATGTTCCATAAATGTTTGTGGTGTATAAAGTAGTAACTCCTGTATTCAGCGCAGTTGAAATGTAAGAAGACAAAAGTCCTGTTTCATAACCAGATAATGATGGTGTTGCCACAACAGGGTTTGTATTCATTTCTCGACTAGTATGAATATGATCTGACACTATGAAGCTTGGTTTTATCAATTCGTCTGAAGAAGGTAAAAGGGAAGTTGATTTAAAGTTGGCGTGTTTTTCTGAACTATAATCCAAGCTATTTAAAGTATCTATATTGTACTGTTCTTCCGTTGTTGTTGGTGAAATCTGTACAGAAGAAAATGTGGACGCTACATGGGCATAAAACCCATTAAAATGTGTTCCAAATATCTGGGTGATCCAGAATGTTGTAGAAGATCCATGAACTTCAGAAGAAGTTGCAGAAGATATTAAGCCTGTTGAAGAAAGAATTTCTGTGGATTCTGGCATTTGAATTGAAGATGTAGTTTGAGCAATGTGTGCGTAAATATCTCCAACATAAGTTCCGTAAATATTTGTAGTGTAGAAGGTCGTAGTTTGATCATTAACTTCACTGTTAATATAAGACGACAAGAGACCAACCTTTTGAAAACTTTCCTTTGGTGTTGTACGTACTTGAGCACCAAGAACTGCTGTTGATTGAGGAGATAGGTTACTACTGATGCTGTCAATAGCATTTGGTGTCTCCGAATACACTTTTACTGCACTTTGGACTATTTGTGCGTAGGCTCCATCTATAAACGTACCATATACTTCAGTAGCATACACTGTTGTCACGCCATCAATGACTTCTTTAGCTTCCATTGACTGAATAAGTCCCGTTGGATATGGGTCATTCTCTTTTGGAGAGTTTGCATCTGGTTCGGATGAGGTGTCTTCGACTGAACGCTCCACCAATCCACTATTAACTTTGACATACGAATGAAACAGATCATCATTTTTTCTTGCAGTTAAGTCACTATAAGTTTGTTCTTTCTCCAGATCAATTGGGCTGTTTTCCTCTTCTTCTTGCACATAGAGTAATTTTCTTTTCTTATGCAAAATTTCAGAACTAATTTGTCCTTCTTTTTCTATCTCTTCCATGAAACCTGTTACACTTGATAAGCTACTTGTTTGGTATGGTTCTGTTGTAGCTACACCACTTATTTCTAAATTTACATTATTTTCTGACTTTAAAAGGTCTTTGCTGTTATGTTGGCTATGGTTTCTTGCTGTATTGTCTTTACTAACTATTGTGTTAGACATAACTATGGAGCTCCCATTTGCAAAAAGAGTAGTGAAAATTGTGTAAGTGACAAGAGGGGCAGTTGAGGAAATTCCTTTATGATTTTCCACCCACTGAGAACTAAAGGTTCCGCTTATCTTGGTTGTAGGACTGTTTATGGACGATGTTGGCTTTGCTGAAATGGAAACAGTGCTGTACCTTGTTACTGTCTCTTCATGAGTGGACAGAGACTGTGTCCCACCAATGAAAAATGTCGTGAAAAACGTGTATGTTGTATAGAAAGGTTTTACACTAGTGATTACAAATTCCTCTGACTTTGTACTCTTCTCTATTATTTCGTTGGGATCAGGATTTTTCATAACTGATTTGGTTGGAAACAGTGGTACAACATTAAAAAGTGTGGTAATTACAGAAGAATTATTCTTAAACAGTGTAATGTAAGATGTCATGGTCGTTACAGTTTCGCTAGAAGATGGCATTATTTCATGAATAAGTTGTGACTGTGTTTCAAGCTGATTACCTGCTGTAGAATGTATCGTTTTTATATTTGTAACTGTATTAAAACTACTTGATATAACTGTTGACCCGTCTGCTGAAATCGTTGGAAAATATGTAAATGTTGTATATAATGTTTCAACATCTGAAGTGGATGTAATGATAGTGGGAATTACTGAAGTTTCCTCACTAATTGTTACTATATTTGTGACAGTTTCCTTCCTAGTCCAAACCGATGTATCTCCATTTCCCTGAGAAGTTGTAAAGTAAGTGTATGTTGTGTAGTAAGTTGTTTTACCAGTTTTACTATTAAGGATATGTTTTCTTAAGTCTTCTTGCACAGAAGGGACATCTCCAGTCTCTTTTTTCGATGGAGCTAAAATTTTACCTGGTTGAGAGCGAAAACTTTCAATAGATTTGATTTCAAAAGTTTTCAATATTTTTGACGGAACGTGTTTGAACAGTGTTGCGGAGTTCGAAAAATTTAATTCCTGGTGTTTAGAGATATTTGCAGAAGTTGTTTGAGTGCCTTGTTGGACAAACTTCATTGAATCCAGTTCTATGCCTTCTGTCTCAAGTGAATTGAAATAAGAAGCTATGAAATTACTAGTTTCTTTTGTTTCCTCCAAAAACTCCGCAGTACTCGAATACGTTGTAGGATTAAAACCAATGTCACCTGATTCTCTATTAAGGTTTGGAGTTGCATGTCTTGAGATACTTTCTAAAGTGTTTTCATTAAGGCTAGAATCTATTGCGGGGTTTTGGAAAGAGTAATAATACACAGAATTAACAGAAGTATAACTTGGCATCAACTCACTAGTCACTACGTTATCATCTACTCTGGAAGATGACAGCAAGGTCTCCACACCACCATCATCAGGGATTCTCTTACCTTGAAATGTACCATCCATAACACTAACACTTGCATATTCAGATAACAATGACAGTGAAGGCGTAACGAAATTAGATTCTTTTCGAGACGAAACCTTTGAGATAAATGACTTTTGAAAGCTTCTCGTCAAAATATCTTCACTTACATGGTTTCCAATGGTTATTATGACATTTTCGTCATCGTCTATCATTTTGGGGTTTATTTTAATATTTTTTTGAAACATTTGCTCAACAGTTTCAGCATCACCGTAATCATTACTGTATCCTTCTGACTTCATATTTTCAAAGTAGGTTCTTCTTTGTTCGGAAACTGAATGTTTTTGTAATTTATTTTCACTTTCGGAATTGAATCTATTCTTTTTGTTTTGATTAATGGAAAGCCAATTGTCTTCTTTCCTCAGTGAAAGGTCAGAATCAATGGGTTTAGTCTGCTGCAGCGTTATAAAAATACTGGATGTACTTTGTATTAAATGAGCATAAGTTCCCTTAATATAAGTCCCAAAGATAAACGATTTCCACTGAATGGTTGTACTGTCAATTACATCTGTACCCACAAGTGACGTAATCAAACCTGTTGGATGAGCTATTACAGTAGAAGAGTGAACGTTATCATCCAATACAGTATAACGTGAGGTAGCATACAGCTTGATGTCATCAACCTCCTTTCTTTCGCTATTTCTTTGTGTTTCACTTTGACGAGTTTTGTTCGCGGATTCCTTAGTGTCGAAAGCGTCAATGCTTCCCAGACTAGTTAGAAACATCGTAGTTTGTAAGACTGGAATTGTTTCCGTAACATATGATGTTTCGAGAGTATGTTTTAAATTCTTTTGTTGTCTCGGTTTCTGTGTTTTCATTGTTTTCGTCATTATAGTTGATGTTGACACAGTTTTCATCATGTCAACTGCCCCGCTATAAGTCGAAGTTGACATAGATCGTTGAGATATAAACTGCCTTGTATGTGTGCCAAATATTGGATCAGAACTATGGACCACTAAAGTTCTATCTTTTGATTCCTTAGGTATATACTGTGGGCCAGTGTTTGCAATTCGACTTGCATGCTTAAAGCCTAAAGTTTTTGTTCCCTCGGTAACTGTTGGAAGAAAAATAACTTCTGTCCCAGAAATTATAGTAGAAAATTCAAGAAACCCATACAAAGTAACTTTTGATTGTATTATCGGAACTGTATTTCTTCTCCTAGCAGTGAAGCTTTCATCTTTTTCAGGCTTAGCGTGATAATAGGGATAAGTAGGATGAATGTTTTCTTCCTCTATACTTCCATCAGTATCTGCTCCAAGCAGAGGATCAAATATTGGACCAAACTGACTGATGGTTTTTGTCACTCTCATATCTTTGTTTTCATTATGTGGCTGAATTAAAGATGGTAGTAATAAATATTCCTTTAGGTTACTACTAGTGTAAGACGGCTCAACTCTTGTGGCCGGATATCTTTGATAGTAGAGATCTTCAGGTAGCGCTTCAGAATCATCATCGTGATAACTCTGATCACCATCTCCAAAGGTAGGAGGTAAGTAAAATCTATCAGTAATAATAACACGGCCACCCTCTAACCCAGATTTTCTTCCAGTTGGATTAGTAAATATGTTTAACCTTCTTCCTTCTCTGTTTAACCCAACGTTAGAGGACTTTGAGAATTCTTCTGGGTATGCAGTGGCTCCTTCAGCATTGGTGGGCATAATTGTTCCAATTTTTCCTACTGTTTTAGCCCCTGCCGTATCTAACACAGTTCCTAGTGGTTCTTTATAAGCAGTGTAGCCTGTCGTCTTCGAGTTTCCATTGGAAGTAACTCTTAATGTACTAACACCGGTAAATTCAGGAAGTACACGATTAGCTTCACGTGGTATCACTTTTTCGATTTCATAAATTGGCATATTATGCATCCTATTTTCTTTCCCTATTTCAGATTTTTCTGAAAGCATACTTTTATTGATATCTTTCACAGAATTTGTGGATGATATTCTACTGGTAGCAGAAGGAATAACCTCAGATTGTTCAGCTGAACTCATAATAATAACTTCTTCATCATCTTTGAAATTAAAATTCACCTCTTGGTCTTTTGAATAATATTCTTTCTTTGATAATAATATCTTACTATATTTTCCAGGAACAATCGTGGAATGCAAAAAAGTATTACTGCCTATATCTGGAGTTTTTGAAGTAGTATCTTCTAGAAAATGTCTGTAACTAGAAACGTCAACTTCTGGTGTTTCGTCGTCATCAACAAATGTACGAGTGGAAAGTGAAGCTCTTTCAGGGGCGGATGTTATAATCACCTGATTATCGGTGTTAATCTGATCGACGCTGTTGGGATATTTTCTTTTCATCTCAAACTCTGAAGTTCCGCTATTATTGTTTGTGATTTCCAATAAGGACTTGGTAAAAACTTGCTGAAATGAACTCGTGATGGAAAAGCTTGGTAAGACGTTGACTTCTTCAAACTTCGAACGTTTAAGTGGCTCAGTCTGCCGAACACTGTCCCTCTGTCTATTTTGATCCATAACACCAATATGAACGTGAGATTTGTTGAACAATGGAGTTGACAACGTGTCTCTATTACCTGGATAATCCATTGATTTACGAGAAGAAAGTTTTACCGCTGTCTGGTAAACCTTACCGGAGGTTAGAGAACCAAACATTTGGGTTTCCCTGCTAACCTTGTACAGTGGACTTGTAGAATGTAATCCGTCAAGGGTTGTATGCGAAGGGGTTGGCCTAAGAACCGAAGAATAACTGTTGACAACATGAGAAAATGTTCCGTCTATATATCTTCCATGTACTTGATTAGTATCAACTGTTGTCGTTCCATACTGGGTAATAGTACTGAAAGAATAAATGACCTTTGTGGGATTTACGTTGAAAGTTCTAAAACCTCCTGCTGTTGCTCTAGACATTTCTTGATTGGCACTAGGAATAAAATCCGGAGACTTGGTTGTTGAAGTTTGTTGAGTCCTGGTGGTCTGAGAATCTTCCTCAAAAACATCGTATACCTCAGTCGTATTATTTGTTGTTGCTTCTATCCCGCCCTGCAGCCCACTAGGCTGGTCCTGGCCCGCGTCATCTGTACGAGTCAGTGTGGAAATAGCAATAGTAAACTTTCCTGTATCTTTACTAGCTACAATTAAAGTGACACAAGAATATCTGGTGTAATCTCTACTGCACGGTTCACATTTATATTGACACTATACTGTGCATGTCTGCCCGCCCCAGTAACTTTCAATGTATTTCTATAGAGTACTTCTTCCCCTAACAACATGGTAACTGTTACTTTACAAAACCTTAAATTAATAGCATTTAAAGCAAGAATAAAATCTTACACACACACACACACACACACATATATATATATATATATTTTTCATAAGCAAATAAATATTATAAACAACTATAATAATTTGTAATCTGTGCTGTCCACATTGTTAAACACTAACCTGTTTGTCTCTTTATTCTTTCGGGAGCCAAGAAGAGTTGATTGTTTTCTGAACAGATGTAATTCTTGTGATTTCCGGATAGATCTGAAATATAATTAATAGTTACTTTTATATGAATAACACTTTATAATAAAAGTATCTGTTTATTTCAGTAATAAAGAAATCGTAATTTTCAGGATATTATAACATGTTCTATAACGTATCGTACATCTTCTATATAAATGTCAATAGTCCTTATTTCAAAAAATAGATCAATCGTAAGTTTAGTGAGTTTCAATCATGACAACATATAAATATTTAGTTGATTTATATATATTATTCAGGTAGAGTAACATATTTTAAATTCACCTAAGTTTGTTTTATTTTTTTTTTCTGATATTCGTCATATAAATTTTATTATAATATTCGTCTCATATTTTTTTAAATACACGAAGAAGACACTTTAACCGAACAATTAACTATAACACAAAAACTTGGAGAAAAATATGAGAAGTAAAATTTTCAACTGTAACAGCTTTTATATGTGTAAACTCATTCATATCAAAACTTAGCACAAAGTTACACAAGGGAAGGGCATAGCCATCTGATAGACTATTGGGGAGGCAGCTAGTCAAAAGCACCTACGCCAACTCTTGAGCTACTTTGTTCTGATATGATAATGATGATTCACTGTTACTCTTATAGGACACACACGACTCAACAATGCAGAAAGCGTTTTTGTAGCAACGGGTAGAATACTAAGTATCCTCAATTTGAAACTCCGGGCACGTTATCCACATAGTCAAGGTCGGCCCAAGAACTAAACATAAGATATTAAAAAATCGTTACAGAAAGATTACTGAATTCAACTTCATAAAATAGTAAGAAATCGTTAGAGAAAGATTACTGAATTCAACTTCATAAAATAGTAAGAAATCGTTACAGAAAGATTACTGAATTCAGCTTCATAAAACACTAAAAAAATCGTTAGAGAAAGATTACTGAATTTAGCTTCATAAAATAGTAAGAAATCGCTAGAGAAAGATTACTGAATTCAGCTTCATAAGATAATAAGAAATCGTTAGAGAAAGATTACTGAATTCAGCTTCATAAAATAATAAGAAATCGCTAGAGAAAGATTACTGAATTCAGCTTCATAAAATAATAAGAAATCGTTAGAGAAAAATTACTGAATTCAGCTTCATAAAATAGTAAGAAATCGTCAGAGAAAAATTACAGAATTCAGCTTCATAAAATACTAAAAAATTTTATGAAGCTGAATTCAGTAATCTTTCCGTAACGAATAGTAAGAAATCGTTACAGAAAGATTACTGAATTCAGCTTCATAAAATAGAAAGAAATCGTTACGGAAAGATTATTGAATTCAGCTTCACAAAATAGTAAGAAATCGTTACAGAAAGATTACTGAATTAAAATTTCACTGGACTAAAATATAAACAGGAAAGTATAAAGTCAAAGGGGAATACTGAATTCAATAGTAAGCCACTTTTAAAAATGAAAACGTACACAGAAATGCATTAATTGTAGGTTTCACTAAAACAAAACATTACAACAACAAGAGGGGTACTCCGCATAACCCCAGTCGTGCAGTGTTGATCATAATCATATTGGGCTCTCAGAATATACCAAAATATGTCCGTATATCCGTCGTTGTCTACAGATACGGACCATTTTGGCAGAACAATGAGGAATCTTATTCTACCTATGTCCACCAAATTTCATTAAAATCCGATCGTTTGTTTGTTTGTTTCTTTGTTTGTTTTTTAATTATGCACAAAGCTACACAAGGGCTATCTGTGCTCTGCCCACCACGGGTATCGAAACCCGGTTTCTAGCGTTGTAAGTCCGTAGACATACCGCTGTGCCACTGGAGGGCCAAATCCGATTGTTTTAGACTGAGTGAGTCACAGAGCAAAGATAGTGTGAAAAATTGATCCCAGTGTTAACATATTTCTTTTACCTTGCTCTGACCTTGACCCTCCAAAAACTAATCACTTCTAAGTTGGATCATAGTCCAAATGTATACCCACTTTCGTCCAAATCAATTCAGCCGTTTTCGAAAAATCTTGGCTAGGTGGCTAGGGCGCTCGACTCACAATTTACGGGTAGCGGTTTCGAATCCCCGTCCCACCAAATATACTCACCCTCTCAGCCGTGTGGGAGTTAATCCCACTATTCGTTGGTAAAAGGGTAGCGGGGGGGGGTCATGACTTTCTTTCATTGCTGAATTAGGGACGGTAGGCGCAGATAGCCCTCGTGTGGATTTGTGGGAAATTCACAACAAACCAAACGAAAAATCTTGCTGACAAACAAACACACACAGAAATGAAAACATGGCCTGGAAATCAATAAAAAAAAAAGAATAATAAACATTTAGAAACAAAAATATTGTTTGTCTTTCGATTATTCTTTTAATTTGATTTTCTCTTTCGTCTGATGTAGACTTCATTAAATGAATGCCCAATGTTTCGTTTTCGTTATTTATGTTGTGTTGAAATTTTTCCTTTATAATCCACTCTCAAAGGAACAACAACATTTTAAAGAACAGATATTAAATATAAGTGGTGATGGTATAGTTATGCTGTGCCCGCCGTGAAAATCAAAATCTGACTTTTATAAGCCATAAGTTTTACCGCTGATCCACCAGTGAACAGGAGAGTATTGTTACGACTCTGGGAGCATGCGCGTTGGAGTTTCTCGAATTATCGAGGAACCCCGCGAATGTCCGAGTGTTTGCTAGACGTCCTCTTTTTTAGTATATAAGCCTGGCAGAGATGCCAGCGATAGATACATAATTGAGTCAACCGAACAGTAGTGACGTTGAGCCGTAAATTGTGTGTTTTGCAGTCGTCCCATAGAGTGAAGTTATGGAGCTTTGGAATCGTTGTGATTTATAGCATGTATTATAAAAGTAGTTAAGTTTAGAAACGTATTGATTGTGAAATTACTGTGTATTACAAAATTGTATCGAGAAAGAATAAACTAGTTTTAATCAAGAAAGGATCTGTATCACTGAAGTTCCTCGGAAAGAATTTATACCAGAAATTAACAAACAAGCAGATACGTAACAGTATGAAATTTCAGTTTATTTGCCTTACATTTTAATAAGCTCGTTGAAAGATACACTCTAGACTGCAATAATCCAAAGCATATACTTAATATCATACATACATTGTTTTCCTGTTTTTAATTACACTTTACTTTTACGCTTAACATTTTAGAAACAAATTGATTAAAACAGTTAAAATTTTAATTGTTTTTAAAACTCATATGGAGAGAGATATATCATAGAAATAATTTCACATAACGATGCATTTTGCATTGTTCCATTCAAAACGTAGACTGTCAAAGTTACGAACACATAGAAAAGGTTAATGTGATACGAAAAAGCGAACTTATGAAAAATATGGCAAATAAAAGCTAAAGAGAAAACATTTAGTTTATCTTAAATTACATTTATAAAAACACCAACAAGCTATTTAAAAAAAAATTATTACTCGTGCCATGCAGTTCATGTTCTTCGAACATCCTTAAATATTACATAAATTTTACTTTAATTAGAAATATCACTAGGTCCAGTTTGGCGCGTTTTATATGTAAGATGTCAAGCTATTTACTTTTGCATTTGAAGTCATAATAAGCGTTCAAGATATATCACATTTACACGATTTTTTCATGGTGAGAAAGTGACGTTATTTCTTATTTTTCAAAGAGTGCTGACAGAGTAGTTTAAAAATCACTGGTTCTGTTTTTTTGGTCTATGTTTTATATATATGATTTATAAACAACATACATGAACATTGAAAGCATAAAACAGAGGCAAAATATTTCATATGTGAACTTGTAAGTAGGAGAATGTTCGACTGAATAGCAAATCTCAACATTTTCTGAGTAGAATGTTTTGATAAGTTTGGAAAAGGCAATTTCTGTTCAAGAAACTTCTTAGAGAGCTCTTTCCTAGTTTCTAATATTTTATAACTGTTTTTTCTATACTTTTATTTTATCAACAGTGTTTATTCAACAATGATGAGTGTTCTTCAAACTATTTTACATTTAATATCATCTATCCACCTTCATTCCTTCAAATTATTTTACCTTTAATATCATCTACCATCTTCATTTCTTCAAACTATTTTACATTTAATATCATCTACCCACCTTCATTCTTTCAAACTATTTTACCTTACCTTTAATATCATCTACCATCTTTATCTTCTCAAACTATTTTATATTGAATATCATCTTCCACCTTTATTCCTTCAAACTATTTTACATTTAATATAATCTACCACCTTCATTCTTTCAAACTATTTTACCTTTAATACCATCTACCAACCTTCATTCCTTCAAACTATTTTACCTTTAACATCATCTACCATCCTTCATTCTTTCGAACTATTTTACCTTTAGCATCATCTACCATCCTCGTTCTTTCGAACTATTTTACCTTTAGCATCATCTACCATCCTTCATTCTTTCGAACTATTTTACCTTTAGCATCATCTACCATCCTAGTTCTTTCCAACTATTTTACCTTTAGCATTATCTACCATCCTTCATTCTTTCGAACTATTTTACCTTGAATATCATCTACCCACCTTCATTCTTTCAAACTATTTTACCTTGAATATCATCTACCCACCTTCATTCTTTCAAACTATTTTACCTTTAGCATCACCTTCTTACCTTCATTCTTTCAAACTATTTTACCTTTAGCATTATCTACTTACCTTCATTCTTTCAAACTATTTTACCTTTAGCACCATCTACCATCTTCATTCCTTCAAATTATTTTACCTTTAGCATCATCTACCATCCTTCATTCTTTCGAACTATTTTACCTTTAGCATCATCCACCATCCTTCATTCTTTCGAACTATTTTACCTTTAGCATCATCTACCCACCTTTATTCCTTCAAACTATTTTACCTTGAATATGATCTACCCACATTCATTTCTTCAAACTATTTTACCTTTAGCATCACCTACCATCCTCGTTCTTTCTAACTATTTTACCTTTAATATCATCTACCCACCTTCATTCTTTCAAACTATTTTCCCTTTAGCATCATCTACCATCTTCATTCCTTCAAACTATTTTACCTTGAATAGCATTTACCCACCTTCATTTCTTCAAACTATTTTACCTTTAATATCATTTACCCACCTTCATTTCTTCAAACTATTTTACCTTTAATATCATTTACCCACCTTCATCGGAACCTTCAAAACAATCCCTGATTCCATCGCCAACAAAGCTACGGCTGATACATCGTGGATTTCCACAATAACACCGATACTGATCTGGAGCACAATCTTGTTGAAAAAAACAACACGAATAAAAAGGTAAGTTACCTGATCATTGTACATACTCTCCGCTATATATTAATTGACGTAGCATTTAAGGCATAGAGAATAAACATTATGAAATACAGAAAAACTTGTTTTCAAACAAATTACGTACACATAGTTATTTGTTAACCCTAAAAGCAAAATTGCTCTTAAGAAAAAAAATCTAGTTAATTAAGAAAAATAATTGATCTAATAATCCTAGGACTAACGTACCCACAAAATAATGTAGGCCATATACAAAATAAGGTTTAGCCTATACTATACTAAGGGCATTTACAAATAAATAAAACATAAAGAAATATTACAAGCATATTTATGAATTAAAATTTATGAAAGTGTATCTTTTAAGCATAAACGCACTTATTTAGTTAGATATACATTTTAAAACTAATATTTACGAAAAAGACCGAAATCTTACTTAAAATGAGCAAAAAGAGTGCAAGCCACAAAAAAGCATGTCATTAACGACAATTTCTATTTTTACAAAACTTTTATTATTGTTACGGCAGCGGAAGTCACGTGACGCTGATCAGTTTCTCGAATGATCGGGGAAGCCCGAATGTGTTCGAGATGCCCTCTTTGTTAGTACATCAGCCTGGCAGTGAAAGCTAGAGGCGACGATATATGAATGAACCGAGAGCAGTAGTTACTTTGAGTTCCGATAGTTTCGAGCAAGTGAGCCGTAAAGTGTATGTCTTGCATTACACTAGAGCGAAGTTATCGAGATTGTGAATCGCTGTGATTTATAGCTTGTATTGTAAAAATCGTTAAGTTTAAATTGACGAGAAACGTACTGATTGTGGAACTACTGTGTACTAAAAGTTTGTATCGAGGAAGAATAAATTGGTTTAATCAAGAAAGGACTTGTATCAGTGAAGATCCTCGGAAGGAATTTCTACCAGAAACGAACAAAGAAGCAGATACTAACAAATTGGTGTCAGAGAGTGGGACGGAAAAGAAAAAGAAATGGAAACTATAAGTGGCAAATCAAACTACAACTTAGCAGATTTGATGACAGCAATACAAGAAGAGCAAAAGAAACAAGAAGAGAGATAACAGCAGTGACAAGAAAACCGGCAACAGTGGCAGCTCGAACAGCAAAATAAACAAGAAGAGAGATTACAGCAGTTGTTGGGAGAAAAATAAAAGAAACAAAAAGAGAGATTGCAGCAGTTGTTGGAGGAAAAGAAAAGAAACAAGAAGAAAGATTACAGCAGTTGTTGGAGGAAAAAGAAAAGAAGCAAATGAGTACCAGAAGCAGTACAGAGCTTTGTGGTGTGACAGGACATTATGCAAGTGTATGGGGACCAGTGGGAATAACTAATGAGCTCATGGGCATAAAGAACAGACACTAAGTATACTTGGCTGACATTGAAGACCCATGCATATTAGGGTTGGACTACTTACTACCGAGGAAGCATAAAATGGCGTTTGGGAACAACAAAGGCCAAATTCCAGTAAGTGTTAAATGAGACATTGAACTAACCAGGTGCCATCAAGCTGAATCAAAGTGACTGAAGGAGTTGATGATGGTGAAGTGGAACCAAGTATTGATATTAAAGCAGAACAGGAGAAACATCAAGATTTGAAGCCAATAATTGATTTTCTACAAGCAAGTGTTTTGCGCCCTACTTGGGAGAAGGTGTCTAGCTTAAGCCCCGTGACAAAGAACTATTGGGCACAATGGGACCAGTTGAAGCTCGAAGGTGGTATTCTTCTCCGAAGATGGGAAAGTGATGACCTGGCAAACAGTTATACCGAGGAAGTTACGTTATTCAAAATATTTCACGTAGAAGATGTGATAAATATAATTGTGAAAACAATATTGTAGCTAATTTAAGGTTTTCAGTGGATTTGGTCTTTAAAGTATTGTTACATCTCTGGTC